CCCCAAAGTGGTGGGATGTGGTGGGACAAGACCTTGGGACAGTGGGATCTACAGCCCAAAATTGGTGGGATCTGGTGGATCAAAAACCTTGGGCCAGCAGGATTGAGATTGGTGAGATGTAGTGGATCAAGGGCCTTGGGACAGCAGGATCTAGAGCCCAAAAGTGGTGGGAGCTGGTGGACCAGGACATTGGGACAGCAGGATTGAGACTGGTGGGATCTGGTGGATCAAGGACCTTGGGACAGCAGGACCTAGAGCCCAAAAGTGGTGGGATCTGGTGGACCAGGACATTGGGACTGCAGGATTGAGATTGGTGGGATCTGGTGGACAAGGACCTTGGGACTGCAGGATTGAGATTGGTGGGACATGGTGGACCAAGGCCTTGGGGCAGCGGGATTGAGAGCCCAAAACTGGTGAGATCTGGTGGATCAAAAACCTTGGGAAAGCAGGATCTAGAGCCCAAAAGTGGTGGGATCTGGTGGACCAAAATCCTTGGGATAAGAGCCCAAAAGTGGTGGGATGTGGTGGAAAAAGACCTTGGGACAGCAGGGTTGAGATTGGTGGGATCTGGTGGAGCAAAAACCCTGGGACAGCAGGATCTAGAGCCCAGAAGTGGTGGGATCTGGTGGACAAGGACCTTGGGACTGCAGGACTGAGATTGCTGGGATGTGGTGGACTGAGACCTTGGGACAGTGAGATCAAGAGCCCAGAACTGGTGGGAACAAGCCCTTGGGCCATCTCCCAGCGTTTTGGGGCCATCTCACCATTTCCTGGTAGTCGGGCGAGGGCACCGACGTGTATCCGTAGGGGAAGAGCAGCATCTGGGAGTAGCTGTGGATGGAGATGACGGACTTCACGTTCCCGTGGCCACGGATGAAGTCCACGATGGCCTTGACCTCCCTCTCCGAGTGCGGGAAGGGGCCGTGGTAGATGTCGGAGCAGGGATCGCCGCTGGAGCCATCACCTGCAGGAGCCCAGGGAAGGGTTCCGGTCCCTCTGGAATGCTGGGATGATCCGAGGGACGGGAAATTCCCAGCGTGGGGCCGCTCTCACCTCCGAACCCCGCGTCCCAGTTCCTGTTGGGGTCGACGCCGAGACAGGTGGACCCGGTGTTGGGGGACCTGGTCTTGCGCCACATGCGGTCCTGGGGGCACAGGGAGGTGAATCCCACCCCTCTGGGGACACCTGGCACCGAGGCATGTGGCCCAAGCACCTCCAGGGATGGCAGGAAACCACCTGTCCCACGTGGGGAGCAACGGGGACGTCCCTCCCCACCAAAAACCACGGAGCCAAATCCCAGGATGGGATCCCCCGGCGCTGTCCTGGCACTCACGGAGCTGTGGGTGAAGACAAAGCCGTCGGGGTTGGCGATGATCTCCAGGAAGACGTCCATGTTGTCCAGGAGGGCCGTGACGGAGGGGTCCCGCCCGTACTCCTCGGCGATCTGGAGAGGAGCGGGAATCGCCCCCGGGATGAGGGATGCGACGGAGCAGCACCACGGGGAGGGG